GCCGACTTGACGTCCATGTGATGAACACGCCACCCTCCTCGGCGGCTAAGCGCAAAGAGGAGTCGCACGGACTCCATCCATGCCACGGGAGCAAAGGCGTCGTCGAAGTCGACCCCCTCCTGTTGCACGAAACCTCGTGCCACCAAACGAGCCTTGTGCTTGACGATGGCATCGGCTTCATCCCTCTTCAGCTTGTACACCCACTTAAGGGTGATCGCGCGGTGACCACGAGAAAGGTCGCCAGAGTTCCCGTGTGCGCTCTCTTCTCAACCGCATCCATCTCCAATCGCATCGCGGCGCGCATGCCATGCCACGTGTCTCTCGGCCTCTCAAGCAACGACCGAGGCTCGCCGTCCATCACACGCAAGGTGCAATCTGCGCCTCCGTGTCGTGAGGCACCGGTCCGGCAGACCGTACGGTCGCCGAGAAGGTTCTCCATCGTACGGTATCGTAACGGCTCGCCGTCGTGGTACGCGTCGACGCGCTCCTCGTCGTGAGAGAGCGGAGTAGCGAGTTCAACCAGGCTATGCTCGACATGAGCTGGTGGTGGAGTAGATGTGGCTGTCGGTGCTGATCACAATTTTGCTGGTGGGCGATCGAGCTGTTCTTAAATTCTAGTATGCTAGTAAGCTTTTGACTTGTTTTGGCTGGAGAGAAGTTTCGGTTCACTTAGTAGACCGGTAAGAGGAGGCTTTAATCCCATGGGCGAGTCCATGCAAACCTTGCTCAGCGTCTGAACGCCCCAAATTTCATCATCCTGAAAAGATCGAATAATAATATGCAGCATGTTCGGGAGGCCGTATCGTATCGTGGATTATTTACTGCTGACTGGTTTGGTGTAAGAGAAAAACACTATTCCTGGCTAGAAATTTACGATCGTTTACGAGCAAGCGAACATGCCGATGACAGGCGTGCTGCTTGATTAGACATTCCATATACCCTTTGAATTTAGGGCCTGTTTGGTTTCTTCCCCTCCTCCTAAAATTCCTGTCACATCGAATGTTTGGATACATGCATGGAGTATTAAATATAGACTAATTACGAAACTAATTACACAACTTGTAACTAATTTGCAAGGCGAATCTTTTAAGCCTAATTTGTTCATGATTTGACAACGTTGTGCTACAGTAAACATGTGCTAATGATAGATTAATTAGGCTTAAAAATTCCGTCTCGAGAATTAGTCTCCATCTATGTAATTAGTTTTGTAATTAATTTATATTTAATGCTTCTTATTAGCCTCTAAATATTTAATGTGACATAAATTTTAGGAACGACTAAAGAAACAAACACCCTTACTCTACGTACACTCCTCGATCTAAATTTAAAACAAACCTCATGCCTGCCTGTGGTCCACGTACACCACTGTCCATGGTCAGTAGCAATTATATAAAAATTCGGTTAAAGCACCATACGCAGATGCAGTACTGCACTGATCTACGATCTCTTAGCAGATGCAGGCCTAGAGATGCTTAGCAGAGCTTAGGTGGTCCTCTTAGGCATATATGCATGCGTACTTGTGCTCCTCACCTCTCACATCCAAAGCCGCGGCAGCGTACTCTCCACTCCCGGCTCACCCAGATGAGCTGGGTGCAGGTTCGCTTTGGAGGGCTAGCTAGCTGGAGGGGAGGTGGTGGTACTCGTATGTGAGAGCAGTGACAGCAAGGCCTTGTTTGCGTGTCAAATTTTTCGGTAAAATAGTATTGTAGCAGTTTTTATTGTTATTTGACAATTAGTGTCCAATCATAGTCTAATTAGGCTTAAAAGATTCATCTCGTGGATTTCGTCTAAACTGTGTAATTAGTTTTATTTTTTATTTATATTTAATGCTTCATACATGCGTCAAAGATTCGATGTGACGGGAAATCTTGAAAAATTTTGCAAAATTTTTTGCAACTAAACTGAACCCAACTCGAGCAAGACTGTCACTGTTCACTCCCTGTACTTTGACAGGACCAAAGAATGCAACGCAAGTCTGGACGGCGCCAAAATGGTGGTACTGTTTACGAGAGAATGCACTGTTTTGCCAAAATGTAACGAGCTCTACGTTTCTCTACTGTACTTTGGAGCTTTTGTACAGGCCCAGGTGAAGGCTTTTGCACTGCACACATCTGGGAACAGTGCTAGCTACTTTCACCAGCCAGTAACCAGTTACCAAAGTTTTGTTCTTACTCGATCTCGCTTCTATACGTTTGTTCAAACAAAAAACAAAGAACATGAAGCCATATGCAACTCCAACAGAAGAATTTATGAATACAGAATCATACCACACTGGCATGTAACAATGTCAAAGGTCAAAACAACTACATTTGTCTTTAGTTCCAGGTTCGTTAATTTTCACATTGAGAATATTTTGATATTAATCTAACTTGGTAAATGTATCAAAGAGGTACTTCTTCCGTTTTGAAATAAAATATATAACGTTTGAGACAAGGTAATCGGTAAAAATAATAAACTAAATAGATTTTTGCAATGAGAATGAGTTATCATAATCTAATTTGACAAATGTATCAAAGAGGTACTTCCTCCGTTTAGAAATAAATACTCCTATATAACATTGAGGCAAGGTAATCAGTTAAAATGATAAACTAATTAGATTGTCCTAATTTCACCAAACATATTTTAAATCGGTGTATGACCAACTGCATTTATGCATTTATCTTTAACTTAAACTGCAAATCGTCTTAGCAGCCAAGCAAGAGTGTACGGAGCGGTTTGATTTCTTTGCTGAAGTTTGGAAATGGTGGGCGAGCTAAGGTAAGCATAGTTTTAAATAGCGGGCCATAGTAAATAGCGGCATCTTTTTTTCAGCGGCTATACAGCTATAGCGGAGCTATGCCAGATAGCGGTTTATAAGAAAGTCATAAAAAATATGAGTAATTGACCCATAAAAACATGGCAATCATGAAATTTGATGAACACATATCTTATCAAGGTTCTAAGGATGTAGGAAACAAAACTTGATATGATATTAGAGCAAGATTCATGAAACTCAAGTGTTCAATTTTGCTAAATACCAACTTTAAAACAAAATATAAGTAGGTAATGATTAGATTGTTACTATTATACCCGAAATTGAAATAGCGATGCTATAGCGCAATATAGCGGTCGTAGTTGATGTAGTGGCAAAAGTGACAATAGCTTGGCGTTATCTCTCTCAGCAGCTATAGCGTCGCGCTATTTAAAACTATGAAGGTAAGGCAAGAAATCGGAGATGAACTGAAGTTTGGAACCTGGACAAGCTCATCTCGATGCCTCTGAAGGCAAGGATTTGTTGCTGGGCGAGCATGCCAAACGAGGCCATGTAGTATACTCCTATGTTGTATTTCTACTTCCACTCGCATATGAACGTAGCCAGCAGGCCATGAAAGTAATGCTAACCAGTCTGCCGCGCGCACTGGCAAAGCAGGAGTCTCGAAAATATCTCCAGCATGGGACACATTAGCCAAGCCAAGGTCAGAATCCTCAAAGATCAGGTTGCAGCTTGGTAGTAGTTTAAACCCCCCAACAACATCTGACGGCTAGTATCTAGCGCCAGCAACATGCTGACATGCGTAAGCGGCGTGTGCGCGGTGCCTTCCCGGCGTTTCCGCTGCCAATGGCGTGCACGCGTCCTCGCGCGTGCTGTGCCTGTGCGTGATCGCGAGCGCGGGGTGGTGGTGGTCCTGCGCCTACTACGGTCGCCTGCATCGGCCATCAAGGAGGAGCGCAGCCGGCAGCCCTGTGCGGCGCGCGTTCGTCCATGAATGCGGCTCATGTACCCCAGTCCCGTACGATCGCTCTGCTAACCTAGCCAAGCGTTGTTGAACTACCTAGCCGCGATGATTCAGCGCATGTTTAGATCGAGGAATTTGGAATTTAGGTGTACTATAACACCCGTTCGTTTTTATTTGACAATTAGTGTTTAAATATGAATTAATTAGACTCAAAACGTTCGTCTCGCAATTTCCCATAAAGCACTTTTTTGAGATTTTGGATGGAACTGAACACGCGCTCAAACCCTTGAACAAACACGCGCTCAAACCCTTGAACACGCGCTCAAACCCTAGAACAGCGCAAAGGGGCTACTACGGCGAAGACATGGTCCCGCCATCCGTGACCTAGAACTTGAGGAGGGAGCATCCATGGCTAGATTGCTACGTAGAGTAGTTGTTTAGACGGAGGATTTATTTCAGCAATCGCACCTGTACTGACGATCGCCAGGTAGTAGTAGCGTGCAGCAGCGAGATCGCCGCTGCCTCCGCCGCCGCGCCGCTTCCCCGGCCCCAGGGCGCACCAAAATTTCGAACGGCGTGGCCGCCCGCCGCCCGCCGTACCCCGTGCCGGCGCCGCGGCAGCCGCCTACGGATTGAACAGGACAGGACGGCCACGCTTTTCAACCTGGCACCTGCTGCGCCGACTGCCCGACTCGCGTCGCTTGGGCGTCTTTGCTCGGCCTCGCGGGCCTCCCCGCGTCTGGCCCATGGAAACTCCCATTCCACCTGGACTCGGTTCGGACGCGGGCAGAGTAATAGCCCAAAGCGAATTCTAAGCGATGGAGGCCCATAATGAGCAGCACAGTGCCTAGCTGCTAATTCTAAGCCCAGGTCGGATCCGCGGAAACCGGCACAGGCCCAAGGCAGACACGACCACGAATGAAAAACGCGAATCAAGGCTCAAGGGAGGGGTGCGGACGAGACGGCAAATTCGAGCTGCGAGTCCCGGCGCTCGGACCAAACAACCGGGTGGCACTGGCATGTATCCTAGTTGAATGAATTCTTGGTCTGGCGCAGGCGCTCAGCGAGCGCCATTGCCACGAGCTCATGATCACAGATCACGCCAAGCTAAGCCACGGCAGCGGCCTTTCTCGACTTTGGGAGCTCCTTGTTGAAACTGTAAGCAAACATGTACAACCGTGAACAGCATGCGTGCTAACTACTTTGTACACTCCTACGTGGTTCCTCCACACGCCGCCCGCCCTGCCCACCTGCTCCGGCCCGCGCCGTCGACGGACGGCGTGTCTACACAAAGGGAGGCGGCACCGTCGCGGCGCCGGGCGGCTGCGGCGGGACGACCTCGGGCGGCGGCCTGGGAGGGTCCACCTCTGGGAGCTGCGGCGGCGGGACGTCGGGGTTGGGCGGCACGGTCGGGATCTCCGGCGCCGTAGGGGACGGCATCGCGGGGCCCGGCAGCTCCGGCCCGGGCACTGGCCGCCCAGGCATCGGCACGTCCACGCCCGGCGGCGCGTTGAACTCTGGCGGCGTGTCGATGCTCGGAAACTCGTCCGGCGTGCGGTTCGTCCCCGGCACCTCGGACGGCGGGCGGTCAGTGCCAGGCACCTCGGACGGCGTCGTCCTGCCCGGGAACTCCGGCGGCGGCGGAGTCGCGGCGTGGCAGCGCACGCCGACGAGCCCCACGAAGGAATGCGACGGCCGGCGCGCGAACGAACGCATGGCGCGCGCCGACGACGCGGCGGCGCGGCACGGCGGGAGGAGCGACGTCGTCACGAGGCAGGCCGGCATCGTCGCGCTCTGCTCTTCCTATCTTTGGCGTACACGAGGACGATAGGCTACGGAAAACAAAAAGGTAAAGGCAAGGGGAGATCGGCTGGAACATTTGCACGATCGGTAAAGTTCTTATACGGCTGGCGACTTGACACGTTCGGCGACGAGCTGGAGTACGTGTCCTGCTTGCCGAAGGAGGTGGCTTCTTGCGACACGTGCCTACGTGTCTGGCGTCCAGGTGTTTACTGTTTGAGTCTGTCTACTACACATCCATGTATTTTATGCAATTTCAACACATAATTTTTTTTGCACCATAGAATTAAGATCCAACAGTCTCCACCCTCCTTCTACCTCCAAGCTCCAGCCTTCTTCTACCTCCAGACAATCATAAATCACAAGATCACAGATCATAAGAAACAATTTTTTTTATGGAATGACAAATCACAGATCACAGAGGAGGAGGAGGAGAGGCCTACCAGGAGCCGGATCCGTCGTCGCCGCCGCCGCCACCGCCACTGCCATGGCCGGCGCGGGCGCGGGGAGGCGCGCCGGGCGCGGGCACGGATGCCGGGGCGAGCTCGCCGGTCGTCGTCGTCGACGGTCACCGGTGAGAAAGAGAGAGGGAGAGAGAAAAAAATCCATATGTTTTTTTTGCTAAAACACATGTATGTGTTGTATAGCATTTCTGTTACTGTTTTCTAGAGGCCCTCTTGATGATTCACATGCTGCTGTGTGTTCAGCGTCACTGGACACGAAGTTCATTCTCTCCCTCTCCTCACCAACAACAACTGGAAGCTTGTATTAGCTTCAGCGACTTCAACTTCTCCGGTTAGTATATGGGAATTTTTGCCACAGGACATCACGAAAACGCATATTTTGCCGCAACACACCGCCAACGCCATCGTTTGCTGAGTACCATTATGAATTCGATTATGTTTGCCACAGCACACCGCGACCATTATTTTAATGATTTCCATAGTTTGGGAGAGAGAAACCGCAGTGAGGAGATAATTTTGCCCCTGCGCGTTGCTGGTCTGGTTGGACCAGGTAACGTCGGCCCGGTCGTCTCCCTCCTACCGCCGCCTCCCTTTTTCTTCCTCTGCTGGTGCCATCCCACTCCCCTATGCAAGAACCCTAGATCCCCATGGCTTCGAGCTCGCAATCCACGCCGTTCGGAGCGTCGCACTCGGCCTACAGAGACGAACTTCGCATTCCAGAGCTCGAGCCCTACAGAGATGAAGCAGGATTCTTGCCATTGGTACCTTGCTCCAAGTGCGGAACCCTTCTCATCGGTCGCGTTTCACATAAGGAGGGTAGCAAGGGGAAGCGGTTCTACAAGTGTCCACTGTTGGAGCATGTAAGTTGTGGTGGAATTGCATCTCTTTTTTGGATGTGTTTTTTTGTTGATTTTTTCATCTCTGGTTTGCAGACCGATTATGCCTGTCGCACATACTACTTTGAAGAACACTATGTCCCTTTGTTGGTCTCCAAAGGTGTTCTTCCTCGCCATTTCAGTCAGCTTAGAGGTCGTGATGGCATGGGGCTGGAGGTGATGAAGGATGGCAAGGACATGTTGAAGGCCTGCCAAGGTGTTGATGCCTGCCAAGAACTGATGGAGAGTGCAGTCATTCATCTCAAAGATTCAGAGGCACTGCTTAAGGCATTAGTTGATAGCAATAGCAAATTGATGACAAAGATGGATAAGATTGGAGAGAGACTGCTTGTAGTCGGTGCTGTAAAGGTGTTTATTTTAGTTTTAGTTTTGTTAGTGTTGTTGGTTAAGTGATGCATAACAACAACTTATCATGTATCAAGCTATCAACAGCTTATTTCAAAGACTCAATTTGTGAACCTTATCATGTATCAGTATGTAATCATGTATCCAGCATCTTATCTTGCATCTTCTTGCAACAGAATTGTGTCACACTCATTTTTGAACTGGCATAACACATAATTGTATCACACTTAGGAATTAAGATAAATTGGCATAACACATAATAAAGTCAGCATGCCAATGAAGTCTGGCCTTCATAACAAGCTTACATATCAGTGTTCATAACACAGCAGCCATAAGCTGTGACTTTAAGCGCAAAAGGGAAACATAGTCTGCCAACCCTAGGTTCAGTACACACTAGGTTCATTACACAACGGTTTCATTACATAACAACTAATAAATTTTGTCATCACATGTCTATGATCAACTTCTTCTTGTTGATCCTCTTGTTGGTCATCTCTTCTGAAACAACCACTGTCTTGCTTGTTTCCATACTCTCAGACTTCTTTTTCTTGGTGGTCTTGCTCACTTTGCTTGCCTTGGTTGTCTTCTTGCTCAGGTCCTTCTTCATTCTTTCACAACCAGCTTCATCATCAACTAACAAATCATCATGAACAAAAGAGTCAGAGTCAGCAGCTCCTTCTTCTTGGTCATCTTGTTGGTCTGCCATATATTGGTTCTCATCATTGATCCCAACATACTCCTCATCATCTTCTTCCCATGCCACATCATCATCGGCAGGCTTCTTGCCTCTTCCCTTTCTTCCTTGAGCAGGTATGGATTTCTCAGCTGATTCACCAGAGTTAGTTGAGTCAGCAGTGTCTGAATCACTCACTTCCTCGCTGAGAGACTCAACAGTAGCACATGCCTCGTTATCAAAGACACACTCTGACTAAATGAAACAGGAACTATATCATAGAAACTCACAAACAAAGGTAGCCTCCTTAGCTCCCAATAGTTCTCAGTAGCATTCATCAAAGTTGAATCAGAGGTTAGACTGGTATAACTTTGCTTGTGCTTGTTAAAAAAACACAAATTGAACCCCTGATTCTTCCCAGGACACACTCTTTTAGATACATCCGCAGCTTAAATCCTTGAGATTAAGAGTGTCCCTATCCCGAATTAGCTAAAAATCTGTTGCCTTTGTGACCAACGTGCCTACCGTCATCATCGCAAAACCTCATAGTAAGCTAGGACACGCACCGCTATCCGTATTGCAGAACTAATGTCCATCCTTAAAAGAGTGGACAAGAACAAGAATTCGTGAAAACCCTAACTAAATTGTCCTCGATTTCATTGCAAGACAAGAACAACAAACAATTGGTGGAAGAGGGGAAAGTGCATACCCGTCAGGAACCCATGATAGATTCACCCCCTTCGACGGTGAATCGATGCTCAAGCGGAGCCGCTCACATTACCAAATGAAGCCATCTTCACGCATCCATGTAATGGCACGGCTGACTACTGACGGCGAGGGGTGGAGTCGGGGTGGCAAGCGAGGCGTGGCGAGGTAGCAACTGCGGGTGGCAACGGAGAGTGGCGGTGAGGCCGTGAGGGAGGTGACGGCGGCGAGGGAGAGTGGTGACGGCGGAAGGGAGAGTGGAGAAGACGAGCTGCGACGGCGTTGACCTGGTTTGGCTAGGGTTTGGCTCGACCTAGTCGGGTCCGGCTCAAACCCGGTCTGGCTCCACCAAGTCGGGTCTGGTCGACCAATGCCGGTTCACAGGGGCATCTTATGTCATTTTAGAAGGTTTCTCTCTCTCCCAAACTCTGGAAATCATTAAAATAATGGTCGCGGTGTGCTGTGGCAAACATAATCGAATTCATAATGGTACTCAGCAAACGATGGCATTGGCGGTGTGTCGCGGCAAAATATGCGTTTTCGTGATGTCCTGTGGCAAAAATTCCCTTAGTATATATATATATGGACCCTGTATAATTTGAATCTATCAACCGTTAATAGTTACCTAACTAATAGCTCTTAGTAAATAAGCTAACTATTAGCTACAATTAGTTGGTTTCTTTTCATTAATGAAATAGTTGTTAGTAAAATAACAGGTTACAATAAGCTAGACTATCACCGGAACCCGTTTGATCCATAGTAGAAATAGGTCAAATTTAGATGAAACTCCACAAAGAAAAAAAAACCATAATCAGGGATCCTGCACTTGGTATACCAGCCTGGTTTAGATGATAGCTGAAAGAAGCCAACATCACACATTAAGCTTTAGGGCATGTTTGGTACAGCTTAACTTCACTAGTGAATCAATTTTTTTCCTTCAGTTCCATAAAACAGCTTCACCAGTGAAGCTAAAGCTGTTTAAAAAAATGTTCGGTAAAACAGACTATCAGGAAAGATAGCAGAGAGAAAGCTAAGAGAAACTAGTATTTTCAGTTTTACATAGAGAACTGCGCATGTGAGGAAAGCTGAAAAAAGCTTTTAAGAGAAGCTGTTTCATCCAAACCTATTTGGTAAGATAAGTTGAAAAACAGTTCCGTGAAGTTGGTGTAAATGGCTTACGAACATATCCTTATATTAGTAGGGCTTGTTTAGATGACAATCGAAAGAAACCAAAGTCACACATTAAGCTTTATATTAGTTACGAGGTTCGTGCCCGTACGCTGCTACGGGACAGTTAAACTTTTATACTAAAAACACACCGGTCGCACGATAACAATACTGTGAAATTAAATACTGACGCTAAAGTGACATTTAATCTAAAAGACAAAGTTCGTGAAATTAACACAATCATGGAGAGCGCGGCGTCGCAGGCTCACAAACTTTACTAATAAACTTAGTAAAGAACTTATCATTATCAATTTGAAAAACATGCTAAATCTAAATCAATCTATTATATTTGATCATTGGTTATTACAAATGTGTCAGCCTGTTGACACAACCATCTTCCAGTAATCCCAAAATTGTTTCGAGATAAGAACAAAAATTTACTAATAAATTGTGTCATGCTCCATATAACCTCTGGCCTCCAAACCCCACGATATACACCTTCCACTCGGTCCAGCAGGCACAGGGAGACATTGTTCTGTGCACAGGTATTGATTCCTCGAGGCCTAGAAACATGTTCTGTTAATCCATGTGGTTAGAACAGCGAACCAGCTACTTGTTTACTGAAGGTGAACTGAATGTGTACTGTAGAATCAATGAACAATGTACATAAGTGCACCTTAACCTAAAAAAATGTACAAAACAGCAATTGGTACTAATATTGATTGTATTCAATGGCCTATCTTAAAATAAGAATTCAGCATAATATTAATGCCTCTAGAAATTGGTTTCACTCGTTTTAAATTTACATTATCATGAAAATTCACTCGTTTTCAATTTACACCATATAATATTAATGCCTATAGGACAAAATTCACTCGTTTTCAATTTATACTTAAAAAGGAGAATGACCTATGATTCTAGGAATTGGTTTTCTATTGTCAGAGATCTATTTTGAGACAAATCACAATGCCTCTGCCCACTGCCCACATGACCTCTTCACATGTCGTCTCCTGCCAGCACCGATCTCCCTCCTGCTCTGCAGTAATGGTCTGCACTCTGCAGCAAGCCAACAACAAGCAGGCACTGTGTGCACCAACCAAAGCATAGACAAGAATCATCTATACTTATGTTGATACTTATGCTGATTTGTTGTGAGAAAAACACAGTTCGTTTGCTGAAAAGTGCTGCTGCAAGCGAACAGGGCAACAGCACTGGTGCAACTTTGGTAATGTAAATTTGATACTAAATTTGGTTAAACTCTAACCAATTCAGAGCGGTACGAGTCCAGAGCATGGCATAGCCTTTAGCATCACATGGGATTAATCACATTGGTAATAATTAGAAATCGTTGCCATCGAACCAAAGTCTACTGTCCTATATAATGGACAATAAGTCAATAACTAAACAGCAGTGCACTGCTAGGATTTGTAAATGAACCAACAGCTGCGCACTCCTAGGATTTCAGAAAACTGGAGCGCTATCTCATACCTATCATAGGCCAGTAGGCCAGCCATGATCGCAGGGACAGTGATGAAAGAAGTCACTCCTTGATCCTTGATGGCGTCAAAGTCTGATTTGGCATCAAATTCAGTACCAGGACATGGCAACCTCTGGCCATCAGGATAGCCATGCATGAGGAGATCCCTCCGATATGGCACAGAGGTGCCATATGTAGGTAAACCTACAGACCAACAAAGGCAAAGTATTGTAAGTCGTACACTTATTGTTTCTTCTAATTGAAATCGAATTGGAGAAAGTCATTAACATAACATTAAAATTATGTTGGTAATTCATCAAATCTATTAATGACATAGGCAGCATTATTTTCATGGGGGGAACTGTAATATAAGAGTACTTGGATCCTAATAGCATACATCATCCTCACCGTAGCCATTTTCATGGCAATTTTTGCAGGGGACTGAATGATCAAAGTATGGCTTATCTCTACACCCTTTGGCTGCCCATTAGTTCCTGAATCAGAATACCATAAAGTATCAACCATTTTGTACCCAAGTTTCTCAATTCGAACTTCCTGTAATAGGCAGAAAAATTACAAAGATCTAAAAACGCAATGCCACATAAGGTACAGCTAAAAATGTAATGCCACAAAACTAACCAGGCCACGGTGATCTGTTATCCGGTACATGAGGTGAGATCTAAATGATGCGAATAAGCACAAACCTATAGGACGAGCCCTCGGCGTCTGCGGATCCCGCGCTGCTGCCGCCGGCTGCCATCTCGCCGTCCTCCTTGACCTCCGAGGAGCTCCCACATGGTGAAAGGGCGGGAACCATCCGACCCCAACATCGCTTCGCCTCCTCCTGCTTCGCTATCGCCGATCGCGGCGGCTCCTCCTCAACCTCCGGCGGGGGCCCCTCCGGCTCTCGCGCGCCGTTCGCAAGATCCTCCGCACCAGTTGGCCTCGCCCCGCCACGGCCTCGCCTAGCCTAGAGATGGCGATGATCGTCGATCTGTTCATGCTCGATTGTACAGTGAGTGTGGG